ATATATATATATATATATATATATATATATATATATTGTGTACGTAATTATTCACTTAAAAATAAAATTGGCTAATACTAGTGATTATTTATTAGGAAAGGAAAAGCTGAATTCCCATCTATGGATAGCAGTTAAAAGTGGCATTTTATTGAAGCTAATATGATAAATCTAAGCTTTGAACATTTTTTTATCTTTGCATCTGCGCTTCTGTTTCCGCCAGTTCTGTTCATTGTTGTAACTATCAGCATATTGGCAACATTCGAAAAGTCCTTTGGATTGGAAGAGAAATATATTGGGCTTTTAATAAAGGTATTTGAAGTAAGTGCTTCAATATTCTTTTTTTATCAGTTTAAAATCTTTGTTGCTGTTGATTTTATTTTCCCTTATTATTGGTGTAACATACCTATTCCGCAGTTGTGTAATAGTGAGGTACTTGGTAAATTTAAACCATTTTTTGTTAGGTTTTTTTTTCAAAATAGCCTTTTTTTTTTTTTTTACACCTCACACTGTAACAGCGCTCACTGTTACACCACATCAACTCAGTTTCAATATTACAGTGGGGAGCTGCCCAAGTGAAGGAAGTTCGAGATAACGAACCTGATGATAAGAACATCGAAACACCTAAAGATGGGGAACTTGTCGACGTGCGGGAAATGTCGCAAGGATGCGATCGTGGAGAGTGTAATGTTGTCACTTTCTTTACGCAAAGCATCCTTAAAGTGGTAACTGTTCAGTTCATTTAATGTTTTTCATGTTTTAGGTATTATTCACCGTGAAGCTACCATCCCTTTGGAATTCGGAGATTATGAAAAAGAGGTGGACTGTCGAGGGTGGGCAACGATCCGGGACAGCACAGAGTTTGTAAAGGTAAAACTTTTCCTTGATGAGCAGGGTAATCAGCTTTTCGTTCCCTGAATTCCCGCCAGCATTATGCAAAGCAGTAATTATTTTAAAGGCTGGGATTGAAGCGATCATTGAAGACGAGGTTACCAGGCGGTTCAATGCGGAACAGCTGGCAACTTGGAACATGCTAACTCGCACACGAGTTTCCTTCTATCACGCTGCCAAGTATGTTGGACGTACCGGTCTTTTTTCACGTATATCCTCCCCTTCTACTGATCTACCTTCATAAAAATATCTTTCATTACAGTTGGAAGCTTACTGTGCTATGGGCTTTTGGTTTTATCGTTCGATACACGATCTTATTTCCATTGCGTCTCATGTCGTTTGTGGTCGGGTTCATGTTTTTGCTAGTGTCTACAGCGGCAATAGGGATTTTGCCAAATGGTGACGTTAAAAAAGCACTAAATGCGAAATGCATGCTTGTTTGCCATCAAGTGCTGTCTAAAGGCTTCACAGCGGTTGTGTATTTTCACAACCCTGAAAACCGGGCTTGCTCTGGAAGTAAGTCTACATTTCTTCGCGAAATTCTGCAGATTAAATTGGTCAGTAGGATTGTGACAGCTTAATTTCGAAGTAAATTTTTCCTTGCTTTTATTTGCACTCGTAAACTCGTGTGTTTACAGTCTGCTTATCGACAAGTAGTATTTTAAGCAATGTAAGTTCTAATCAGTATGCTTATCACAACGCAGATTGCCATAAAATGAACTTTCTTAGCCAATTTAAGCATTATCATGCAAAAAATTTATGGTACTGTAGTAACAGATGTTTGGTTGGTAGGTGTTTGAGTAACATGGTTTCCGCTGTCTTAGGTAGGTATCATCATAATTGCGCAGTAAGCTATACAACGATTCAATTTTTCCACAGGTACCGCTAAAACCACCATAAGACAATTATCGTGAACCCAACAGTAAAACTTTCATTTGAGATAACGAGCTTAATGTTCCTAGTTAAGGTATTTGCGTAGCAAACCACACATCACCCATCGACGTACTAATACTCGGATTGGATAACGTTTACGCTCTGATTGGTCAGCGGCATACTGGACTACTTGGAGCTACGCAACGCGCACTCAGTCGCTCTAGCAGTCATATATGGTTTGAGAGAAGTGAGGCTAGAGATAGAGCGCTTGTTGCTGCAAAGTGAGCATATTAAGTCCCTAGACTTAGCATTAGAAATGTTTTACACTTTGAGTAGATTGGCCATTTTCAGGCCACCGGCTGTAATACTGTGGATTAAGATGTTACTGATTAGTTCCATTTAGGTTGAAAAATCATGTCGACGACCCAAACAAACTACCTATTTTGATTTTTCCAGAAGGGACTTGTATCAACAATACATCGGTTATGATGTTCAAAAAGGGTTGCTTTGAGGTGAAATTTATTTTATGAGAGGTTACAGAAATCTTAATTTTGTTCTGACAGTACGATTTCAGGCAGACAGACCCATCTATCCCATTGCCATGAAGTATGACCCATTATTTGGCGATGCTTTTTGGAACAGCAGTGAGCAGGGTTGGTGCGAATATCTGCTTCGGATGATGACATCATGGGCAATTATTTGCAATGTGTGGTACTTGCCGCCGATGACCAGAAACGTAAAGACATCTTCT